CACTTTAACATTTCCTCGCGTATTACTCATTCAGTAAAACTCTCGTATAGTACGAGTTCCAAATAACTAATAATAATAATAATAATAATCTATCATCACTGACAGGACTATTGTTGCTAATAAGCCTGATATAGTGATGATAGATCGGGAAAAGCGCCTCGCAATGATAGTTGATGTGGCCATCCCTCATGACGAGAACCTCATGAAAGCCGAGAAAGATAAACAAATAAAATATCTTGACTTGGCTCATGAGGTTGTCGCCATGTGGGATGTTGACTCGGCTATCATTGTGCCGATAGTTGTGACAGTCAATGGCCTGATAGCTAAGAGCTTCGACTGTCATCTGCGGAGGCTCTAGTTGGGTGACTGGATCAAGGGCCTGATACAGAAGGCAGTGCTCCTTGACACGGCTCGCATTGTGAGGAGGTTCCTCTCTCTGGGGCCCTAACCACCGGTAGCTAGGACCCTGTTCCCGCTGCCGGTTGGCTTCTATTTTTTATATTTTTAAATGTTTTTATTTTTATATCAATATTTAAAAATGTAATCAATATGGTATACAATAAATAAAGAGAATAATAATAATATTCTTTATTGTTATACACCATAGAAAAACACACAAGTAAATTAAAACATGATAAATAGAACGTACACAATATAGGCGGCCTTATTGCTAGGCAGCAATCTCTTCCAGGCAACTCATAAAAGAAAGATAAATAAATATGAAGGAGATAAGGAGGGGTGTTATAGAAAAAACATAATGATATCAATGACAGGAAAAACAGATATATCTAAGGAAGGAAAGAGAGGATGAAGTAAAAATTTAACATAATTGTTGGGATAGGAAATAACTCCGAACTTGATCCCTAAACGAATTCAGAGTGCGAGCCCTTCGAATGGTTTCTGGCAATGAGTTCCATAATCGTACTGAATGCACAGAGAAAGAATAGGAAAAGAAATCAGTAGAATGAATTGGAATTTCAAGAGATAGGTTAGAAGAAGATCGCAATGTGCGCTGTGAAGTAGAAGTGAGAAACGAGAAGCATTCTTTTAAGTAATGAGGAGAAGTGGGTAAGAAAAGTACGGAGTAAAGAAGTGTAAGAGTGTGTAAGTCCCTGTGCCGGCGAATAGGGAGCCAGTTAAGTTTAGAACGGAATTGTGAGACGTGGTCATATTTACGAAGGTTGAAAATAAATCGGATACATAAGTTCTGCAGACGCTCCAGCTTATTTAAGAGTTCTTCAGAAAGATCTGTGTAACAGGCATCAGCGTAGTCAAGGATAGAAAGCAAAAGAGTCTGCGCCAGAGTAATTTTGGTGGTAGTTGGCAAAAAGTTACTTAATCGGTTGAGCGAGTTGTATGCAGCAAAAATTTTCTTTCTGACCGCTTCCACCTGAGGTTTCCAAGAAAAATACTGATCAAAGACAATACATAGGTTTTTGACAGTGCTTGACCAAGGAATAATAGTTCCATCAAAAGTAATAGGAGATAAATGTTCAAAATCAATCCTGGAAACGAAGTAAGAGCTGCCAATTATTATTGTTTGTGTTTTAGTGGGGTTCACAGTGAGACCGAAAGACTTACTCCAACTACTAATTAGGGCGAGATCAGAATTGGTAGCAGCTATTGCACCCGAAAGGTCAGATAGTGGTGCCTGTGTGTAAATCTGGAGGTCATCGGCGTAGAGGTGATAGGAACTGAAAAGTGACTGTGTGATAGAATTTATAAAAATTGAGAAGAGAAGAGGAGATAAGACGCCACCCTGAGGAACACCAGCATTGGTGGCGCACCACGTAGAGAAGTTATCTTCAATGCGTATACGCTGCCGGCGTCCTAGCAGGTAACTTTGAAACCAATCAACTGCCGCTGGAGAAATATTAAGAGAACGCAGGATGGCAATAAGTATGTCAAAGTCAACTGAATTGAAGGCGTTACTGAAGTCGAGCAACGTCAACAAAGTGAGCTGTCGTTTCTCCATACCACGTCGGATGTCATCTGAAATCTTAACCAGTGCTGTAGTCGTGCTATGGCCCGTACGAAAACCAGATTGAAATGGATTTAAGAGCTGGTTTTTGTTAAGAAAAGCTGCGAGCTGTTGATGAACGAGTTTTTCCAGAACTTTGGAGAGAAAGGGAAGAATGGAAATAGGACGATATTCTGAAAAAGAGGCAGGATTCGTTTTTTTTGGGATTGGAATAAGATATGCATCTTTCCAGGATGCAGGAAAAACACCGGTTGAAATTGAGGTATTCAGGATGTGAGTAATTACAGGAGTCAGGATGTCAAGGATGGGAAGGATCATTTTCCGGCTAATGGAGTCACTACCTACTGCACTGGAGTGAATCATTTGTAAGGTTCTCTTAATATCACAGTCAGCAAATTGATGTAAGAAAAAAGGAGAATTTTGAGTTGGCAAAGTTGAAAGACGTTGTAAGGTAGCAGCCTTACGGTAGCCGTCCAAAGGCACAGAAGTGGAAAAGTAACTATTAAGCTGATTAATATCTAGATTATTATTAGGAATACTGCTACGAGATTTGCCAACTCCGAGTGATTTTAGAAATTTCCAGACTTTTGGGGGAGCTTCATTTTCAATAGATTTATGAATATGGCGTCTTTAGGCGTCCCTAATCACAGTGTTGCAGCGATTTCTCACCAAATTATATTTTATCTCATTTTGTTTCGAAGGATTGACTCTGAACTTAGCCTTAGCAGCATTTTTCCTTGCCATCAGTTCCCGAATTTCATCATTCAACCAAGGAGCCGGCAGATGTTTTATTTTAACAGGGCGAATAGGTGCATGCATATCATACAGCTCGGTAAGTAAACAGTTAAAAAGTTCAATTTGCCTATCCACAGATTCAGATGCAAAAACTGCAGACCAGTCCAAGTTGGCAGCATCCTCCATCAGGTGTTCGTGATTAATCCGAGCAAAATGACGCTGAAGCTGCACAGTGGGCCTCACTTTTGGAGGACGAATCCGGTACGATAGGTACACCAAGTCATGATAAGAAAAAGCGTCCGCAGAATATTGCCCATGTTTAGCGGCGAAGGTAGGGGAAGAGACGATTATCAGATCAAGCAGGGAAGGAGTACAGTTAGGAAAATGGTGAGTTTCCCTAGACGGAAGAATATGTAGATTGGAGGAATTAATCACCGACAGTAATTTTTTTGATCGATAATCGTCTTTTATGAGACATGTGTTGAAATCTCCCATAATTATAGTATGGGAATAAGAGGGGGCAAAATTTTCAAGAAGCTGTTCGAATGACTCAAAATAGTCGACTCGCAGAGAAGGGCTGTAGAAAACATCCAGAAGGATTTTACTATGAGACAAAGATATTTCAAGTAAGAGATGCTCGGCACTGTTCGTTTTAATATCACAATTTTGGCATTTCGGATCATTTATAAGTTCCACGTTGACTTCACTCTGATACATATACCTAACCAACACTCAACGGATAACATAAATGTTATGAAAAGAAACTAGAGAAAAAGAAACACCAACCATACAAACTAAATTTCCATAACTGAACAATGAAAACAGGAAAATGTTGTATATAATAAATGAAAAACAGCTATTATACAAGAAGACCTTTCAAACGGAGCAGCAGCAACGCTTCATCGATTGTAATACAAACAAACAAAACGGTCGATAATAAAAAAAAACCGGAGCACTTACAAATTGACGATGAAAACAGACCCAACAATGGTCAGCACGCAACGAGAACTAAGGCGAAATTATCCTTTTGTATATGAAAAATCCTGGAATGCTTGCCTTTTATTTGCGGGGGTACGATCGCGGAGTAGCTATTGTCGAGAGAAACATTGTCTGTCTTTTAATTAAGCTCATCTATTTTATTTTTATTACCGCAGATGAAATGTGATCACGCCGATCGATACACATCTAGACATAAACTCTTACAAGAAATTAAGCGATTGGATTATGAAAATTAGAGATTAAAAGTTGCAATGTAATTATCTTTTATTATTCACTAGAGGTCGCCCGCGACTTCGTCTGCGTTAACTTAGTTTCTTGAAAACCCCTCTGGAACCTAACATTTTTAAAAAGTAAAAGTAGTCTATGTGTGAATCTAGGGTGTCAGCTAGCTCCATATCAAATTTTATTAAAATCGCTTCAGCCGTTTAGACGTGAAGAAGTAACAAACATACACATTCACATACTCACAAACTTTCGTCTTTATAATATTAGTGTGATAGTGTGATTTATTTTTAGAAAATACATAATTATGTACTCAATATTTTTGTGTAGTTGGCTTAGTACGATTAGTTTTACGATGATTTTGTTTTCTATGCTAGACTGGCAATCTGGGAGCGAGAGAAACATAAAATGCCTGCTGCTTGATTTCCAGATAGTAAAAGCCATACCTACACGGTATTTGAGTTACCATACTCCTCCGAAACGACCTGACCGATTTTTATGAATATGCATATTCCGTGGGTCTGAGAATCGGCTACTATCTATTTTTCACATTCTTAAATGGTTAGGAGGAATGTTATCCCAGGAAATTGATAGAACACTACGTTACACACCCCTAAAAATATTGTTGGACAATATTTTTTTTTATAATGTGGTATAAAAATACATACAACCTTAAATTTTCTCTTCTACCACCTGCCCCTATTTTTATGGCGGTACGAAGTTTGCTGGGTCAGCTAGTATTAAATAAAACTCATTAGTTTCTAAGTTTTATTCAGTTCTTTTTCACTATTGTTATATTAAGGCAGCATTCAATAACCGCCTTTATATAATTTCACAAGTCGTTACGTCTGATTACTCGTAGGTGGTTACTCTCAATGAAATGCTTAGTACTGTTTGCTCCGTCATTCATTATTAATACATTTTTTACCTTATTCTCGCTAGCAAAGATTCGAAAGTTGACGCAGCAGTCGTCGTCGTTATAAGCGTGTATAAGAAATTTGCATAAAAGCGAGCAACTCTCCTCATAATTATCCTTTTGATCTTAACACGCGAGTCCTTTACCGTCAGCATACCCAGCTAGCAAAATTGTCTTGGGCTCAGTTACATATAAGAGTGATAGTATTATAAGTAGTTTATAAGTATCTTGATTAAGAACAAACGTCGTATTAAAGCATGCATAGAGACATTTTGGACTTATAGAGTATAAAAGCTTATTAGAAACTCTTATAGGCATATTTAAGTCAGCCTTATAAAACATTTACAAGTATATAGGTCATACAAGAGCACGCTGTAAGTCCATTTACTCTTTATTTATTTTTATACTTACTAAGGCTCTGACTAAGGTTGTTTCTTCTTTAAAGCGTCTCTGATAAGTGTTATATAAGAGTACTGTTCTTACTAAAGCATGACATAGAACTTTTTTATAACTAAAATCTTATAAGCGTGAGTCGTCTTAGCTAAGATGTTTATAAGATTATTTGAACTTACAAACGTTATAAGCATGCTTTACAAAGAATATTGTTGATTGCTGTTTCTTATTTTGTCTACAACATTCTCGTTTGTCTTTTGGCTACTGTGGATACAATTATGGATTTAAGTAAATGGAAACGTTTCAAAAGAAGTGGAGGATATCGCAGAAGAGTAAATAAACAATACGTTGAACTAACAAGTGAACCATCCGTACAAAGAGCTAACCAAGTTGAAGTCAGTCACATTTGTGATGGTTCCGTACAAGAAGATATAAATTGTTCTAGTGATGATGGTTCCTTGCAGGAAAAAATGTATTATTCTAGTGATGACAGTGAACATGAATCTGACTTTGTAAATTATGAAAATAATCTACAGTTGCGCGAAGATATTAAAATGTGGGCCATTAAATACAATATTCCACATTCAGCTTATAATGAGCTTTCTTTAATTTTAAATAAAAATGGAAATATAATTTTGCCTAAAGATGCTCGAACGCTTTTTCAAACGAGTCAAGATGTACAGATTATTCCCTCGGGGACAGGAAATTATTGGTACAATGGCTTAATCAAACAATTAAAAAAAATTATAGAATGTGCTAATGACTTGCCCGATAATATTTCATTGAATTTCAATATCGATGGTTTGCCACTATACAAGAGTTCTCGACAACAGTTTTGGCCAATATTGTGTAATATTTCTGAAATGCCACGCCTACCTCCATTGATAATAAGTAAGTATAGATTAAATTATTAATTTATGCGTAATTCAGTTACTAAAGATAATAAGTAAACAATTTTCATCCCAGCTTTTTAAAGTTACCTACATAAATACACTTTTGGATAAAAAAAAATTAAGTAGGTAGGTACCCAAGTCTGATCTCTTTAGGTTAACAAATACATTTTTTCTCTTACATTCACACACATATTACACTTTTGATTATACACACATGTACCTTCTCACACAAGAACACACGTACGATTATTAACTATATTTAGTGAAAATCCGTTATACCATTTTAAGATAATGCGCTCCTTTCTAGATGTGCAAAATAATAATACATTCTGTTTGTCTTTAGGTATATACACGGGTAGCAGCAAGCCATCAAATTTGGAATCTTTCTTCGGTCCTCTTATAATGGAGTTAAATGAACTTACTAGTTCGAATGGTTTAACGGTAACAGTCAAATCGACAGGACTTGAAAAAACAATTCCCGTGAAAGTCAGAGCTTTTATATGTGACTCTCCTGCCAGAGCACTGATTAAAGGCGTTGTCAACTTCAACGGCAAACACGGGTGTTTAAAATGTACCGTAATAGGCGAATATTCTCATGTTTCTCGCACTGTTACGTTTCTAAATCATGGTTGTCCTAAAAGAAATGACAATGATTTCCGATCAAAAAACGATGAGGAACATCATAAGCAAGATTCCCCTCTTCTGAAACTCAATATCGATATGGTAGAAGATTTCCCAGTTTGTGACTCGCTTCACTTGATTGATCTTGGCGTTATGAAACGATTGCTAACTGGATGGAGAGATGGCAATTTCGGTAAATACCTCACTAAATGGTGCAGCCAAGATATAGAAAAGGTTAACGATTTTTTAACCAAATGCAGTTTGCCTAAAGAAATCCATAGATCCGTGAGAAAACTCGATGTGTTAGCCCATTGGAAAGGCTCAGAATACCGCACATTTTTCTACTATTTGGGTATTGTAATACTTAAAGATACATTACCAAGTCAGGCATATTATCATTTTTTACTGCTGTTTTGCGCTGTTACGATTTGCTCAAATGAGAAATATTTTAAATTTCTTTCGATTGCTGAAAAAATGCTGCAGATTTTTATTGATATTTACAAAAATATATATGGAAAAGACTACATTTCTAGCAATATACACAATTTGTCACATCTTGTTGATGAAGTGAAAAAATTTGGAGTACTGCAATCTTTTAACGCTTATCCGTTTGAAAATAAGCTGTACGGTATTAAAAAAATGATTCGACAAGGAAATAAGCCTCTTCAGCAAGCTGCTCGACGATTGAGTGAAAGATCTGATATAGAATTTGAAAATATTGGTGTAAATGAAAACAGGAAACCATTTATTAAAAAGAATAAAACTAAAAGGAGATCAACTGTTAAACAACTTTGTTTCGATTCGTTTTCTCTGTCTGCGCAAGATCAAAACAAATGGTTTTTAAGCAACAATGACGAAATTATTAAATTACAGAGTTTAACCACTGATGATGATTCCAAAGATATTTTAATACATGGATATCGTATTGACAACGTTTTTGACGTCTTTGAAGAACCCCTGAAGTCCTCTTTTTTGAATATTTATAAATGCGATCTCAACAATTACAATAAAACTGAAGTGATTTGTGATGTTACTAAAATTAAATGTAAACTAGTTAAAATTGAATACAATTCAGAATTATTTTTTATACCTTTGCTACACACATTGTGAGATTAAAAATATAACACATCATTTTTACTTTTTTATTTCGAATCATCATTAACTGAGAACTTTATTTAGCCATAAAAATAAGATTTAGTACCTATAGTAAAATTAAATCTACTTTAGATAGATAAGTAACAAGCAACTTTCGAGCGCAAGTATGCTTATACTTCACTAGATGCATTGATTATATGATTATTTATTAAATAGCCGTTATTTTTAATATTGAGAGACCTACTATAAAAGGGGAAGGGTTTAATGGAAAAGGTGCGTGATGTTATGTATGTATTTATTATTATAGAGTCTTCACTTAAATTAGCTAGATAACAAATGTCTTGAAAATAAAGTCTAATCAGTTTACAAAAACAGTCTTTAATCTTTAGTAAATACTCTGAGATGGTTATTTAAATACTTATTAAATAATAAAAATAAGTTCCACATGAACCATGGTACTTGTTTAGTAGTACTACTTAAATTACTTAAAATGTAGTCTTCAGTTTGTGAGGTAATCGGTTGTTATCACAAAACTATTATTTCACGTACTTATTTATACTTATAATAAATCAAATTCACTTCTGAAAGATGAATGGTAAAATTTATACTCCCTTATACAAGAAGTTTTTGTGTGAGTGTCAGGCTGTAATACTGATAAACATTTTAAATCGTCATTTTGATCATCAAACTGAACACCTTTTACAAAAAAATTTGACCTTCTATACCAACTCGACAATCAGTATAGGAAGTCAAAGTTTTGTGCTTTCAGGGGCCATATTTTTGAACCATTCGAAAACAATTCGCATACGAAAGTGTCAATTTGCATGTGAAGCCCCATACATTTTTGGGATCTGCACATGCGCGAAGTCAGTTTTCGTATGCGATTTGATTTCGAACGGTTCAAAAATATGGCCCCAGTTTGATGCGTACAAAAATTTTGTTAACCTGTCACTTACAACCTGTGCATAGTTTATACCAATTAAGTAACTTCTTATAAACCTATAATAATTACTATTAACTACTAACAATGCACAATCAACAACAACAGTTTACGCGTTTGGAAGCTAATATTTTACCATACTACTCGTAAAAATCTTATTCTACTTGATAAACTAGATAAGTAAGTAAATTAAAATATATTGAGCCATGTACACAATAATTAAGTCTTACTCTTAATCTTAAACATGACTTGGCCCTGAGAATTAAAAACTAAACTTTAAAAAATCCTTAGAAAAAAACGTTTAAATGAAATATTAAAAAACCTACCCTTTGCCATACAAAACATCTTGCTTCACTTATAAAACTAAACAAGTAAGAATATAAAAATATTTTGAGCCATGAATAACTACTTAAGTCGTAAATGACTTGGCCCTACAATAATACTCGAGTCCTACATTAGGAAATAACAATATTAAACTCAAAACAAGAAAAATAATAATCCTTAAAAAAGTAACAATCTTTATCGTGATATTTGCCATACAAAACATCTTGTTTCACTTACAAAACTAGATACGAGTAAGTAGGTTTAGTAACATTTTTGGGCCATGAATACTAATAATTATTTAAGTCGTAAATGACTTGGTCCTACACTAATCCTCGAGTCCTACATTAGGAAATAACAATAATAAACTCAAAACAAGAAAAATAAAAACCCTCAGAAAAGTAATAATCTTTTTCATGATAAATTGAAAATTAAAGTAACAAATACCTAAAAGATAACAAATACCTAGTAACAAACTTCTTCAAGGGCCTCACAACAAATAGTCGGTTAACGACTCTTCATCCTGATTACTTGTTTCGCAAACAGAAGCGCCAGCTAGCATTTCTGGTTTATCATTTACTGTAGCGATGTTACCATTTTCACGAACAGAAGTGCCAGCTGGCACTTTCGTAGTTTCAGTTGCTACAACAATTTTACGACTAGCACGAACAGAAGTGCCAGCTAGCATTTCTGGTTTATCATTTACTGTAGCGATGTTACCATTTTCACGAACAGAAGTGCCAGCTGGCACTTTCGTAGTTTCAGTTGCTACAACAATTTTACGACTAGCACGAACAGAAGTGCCAGCTAGCATTTCTGGTTCATCAGTTACTATGGCAATGCTACCATTTTCACGAACAGAAGTGCTAGCTAGCATTTCTGGGTTTTCAGTTACTAAAGCGCCATTACTATTTTGACGAACAGAAGGGCCAGCTAGCATTTCTGGATTATTAGTTACTGTAGCGATGTTACCATTTTCACGAACAGAAGTGCCAGCTGGCACTTTCGTAGTTTCAGTTGCTACAACAATTTTACGACTAGCACGAACAGAAGTGCCAGCTAGCATTTCTGGTTCATCAGTTACTATGGCAATGCTACCATTTTCACGAACAGAAGTGCTAGCTAGCATTTCTGGGTTTTCAGTTACTAAAGCGCCATTACTATTTTGACGAACAGAAGGGCCAGCTAGCATTTCTGGATTATTAGTTACTATATCCATGTCATGATTTTCGCGAACAGAAGTGCTAGTAGGCCCTTTTGAGGTTTCATTTACTACAGATTTAGTGATTGTTTTTACTTTCTGACGGCATCTTGTTGTAGATAATCTTATTTGTTTACTCTCAAGACGTTGACGAGAATTTTTCAATACTGTCTTTATGAACTTTTCACAGTCAGGTTTTTTAAAGCAGGGGTCTGATTCGTTAATAGTCGACAAAAATAAATCAAATACATTGGTGAAACTTTTGAGACAAATTTTTGAACTACCAGATTTAGATCCACCAGCCCATGAACACTGACATAAAAAGTTTCTTTGAAAAAACACATCAATAAGATTATATGCATTATTTGTTCCTCTGCCTTTACCCTTACTGCATAAAAGGTCTATTTTGTTCTTGATTCTTGCTTTGAAATCCGGATCTGCTAACATGTTTTCTAAATTTTGTAATTCCTTTAGGTTACATACAGGTTTAATGACAGGTGTACTTTCATTATGACGTGTTGTTTGATTATTATTTGTTTTTATGAACTCTTCAAATTGAGTGTTAGTTTCCGTTAGTTTAAACATTATCTTCTTTTGATTCTCAGACAATTTATTGATATCTTCTTTCAAAGAATCAAGTTTTTGTAAGATTAAACTCATTGCATCATCAATACCAATAACATCAGCAACAATTCGGTCCGGTGAGGTTGGAGCAATGGTATTGTCAGCCATATAAATTGGACCTGTCGAATTTAAGTCACGTATTCCAGTAGGCTCTTCAGAGTACATGTTATCAATATTCTGATATTCTGATATAAGAATCGGGGTTTCTTGATTTAGGTTTTTAGTTACAGTATTCAGACTAGTAGGCATTGACGTGTCATTACTTGTGATAGCATACTGAAGAGGAGCAGGATTTGTATGGTTCTGACTAGTAGGCATCGTCGTTTCGTTACTTGTGATAGTATACTGAAGAGGAGCAGGATTTGTATGGTTCTGACTAGTAGGGAACGTCGTTTCGTTACTTGTGATAGTACACTGAAGGGGAGCTGAATTCATGAACATCATGTTTTCTTTTCTAGGTTTCAAGAGTTGGTTGACAAGTTGTGGCTGACTCTCCTGAAATCATGAAACAATATTAGATGTTCTAGTTAAGCTATATTCTATACATAGGTATAATAATATGTATGTATGATAGTAAACGCCGATGTCTGTACATTGAAAATATTTAAAATAGAATAATATTCTATTAGTGAAATAGAATTTAAAAAAAAAGTTTTGGCTGTTTGTCTGTCCGTTTGTACGCGCAACATGCAAAAACTACAGAATGGATTTTAACCGATACGTAAGTACGGTGCGAAGTCGCTACGGGTCCACTTGTCACATAAATGTAATAATATCTGAGACATTTCACACAGCGCTTTCTTGTCTTGAACTAAGCAAAGCTTGTACTCATAGATAAATCAAAGGTCTCGCTCTTGTACTGTAGGTACTTGACAGCTGATATAATCAATCACAGGATATAATACATAAATACTTACTTAGTTCTCTTTTTTTAACACGTAGTAAATTTAAAATTTAATTTATAAATATAAAATAATAATAAAATTTACATACATACATACAAGTCACGCTCATTTCCCGTGAAGGGTGAGCAGAGCCTCGCTTCAACTCGCTTGGCAATGGTACCAGAGCGAGACCACATTTAGCATACCTGGGCACTAGGTGGAACTACTTCGATAGTGACAGATTGCTAGCCTGTCGCCTAAAATAAAGGTAGGTACCTAGTGCGCCCTATTAATTAGTCACATTTTACGACATCTACAGAAGAAATGGAAAATAAAAATATATATTTTTTTAAATATTTGATCCTTTCGCACTAAAATATTTTATTTATTTTAAGATAGAAACCCAGTACCTACATTATAAACTTGTAGGTATATTCATACACGTGTATACAATCACCCAGAAACAGGGCAAACGCAAATGTTCTTAGCATGAATGTTTGCTCTTGGCGGGGATCAAATCTGCGAGTCCCGCGCAGTAGGCAGGATTATAAGGATTAAAAATTATAATAGCATGCAATAAATTTGCCTGTAAAAAAACATTTTTACATGATTTCTACAATACTCACATCACAACATTGTCTTGCCATATCGTTAAAGGCCTGTTGAAATTTGGATATGTTCTTTTTATTGTGATTTCTTGTGTGACTAACATTATCATTGTCAGTCTCGGTATCGGAGGCGTTGGACATGCTATCAATTTCTTGTTCAGCTTGGGAAAAACTTGACAAGTTTGATCTTTTTAGAATGCAATTTATTGGCCGCCAATTAGTCTCCGGTTTGGAATGTTCAATTCTCCTCAATTTTTCATGCTTTTTTGGCCAAAATAAAGTTCCACTAATTTCCCACCCGTCCGGCACTGCAGTTAATACAGGCCTTCCTTTTTCTATCGTTTGAACTATTTTGTAGGGCATAGTTTTGGCTTATCTGAAAAAAGTAAAGTTTGCTTAAGTCACAAAACTGCATTATATTACCTATAAAAACACTAAAAACAAACACTTTCACTAATTTTAAACACATACCGATACTTATAAAATGCAATATTTATTTCTTTCGTGATAAGCGACAAGTAATAATGATAATCATGCGGCGCGGCAGTATCATATCACCCACAACATAACGCCAGCGCAACTAAACAAACTCTAGCCTTGAACTTGCCGAACGCGTGACTTTTGTTTATGTTGGTGAAATGAAGTGATGTACAGGCGCGGTGGGGGAACGCTTCTCAGATATGTCAACTGACGAACCAATAAGAACACTCCTTTTGATTCACCGGCAGTTCACACTTGCTTCCCGCCGCGCTACGATTTTTGAGTGTTCCTAGTGATAAATAGTTGTTACCTACCTAAATTATTATTATTTACGTATTTATATTTTTATGAGGATTTTTAGCTTATTATAATCGGTTAGTTAGTTGCATACTTCACATTCGTCATTTGGGTAGTGGTCGTATATTGCAAATTCTTGGCAGTTTTGACACCAGAAGAAACTTGAGTGCAATAATTTAATTATATCATTATGTCTTATCTTAAAATGTAGGGGTTTCTGTGGATTGTCGTATGATGTAGCGTATTCACAAGCGATACATTTTTTAGACAGTATAAAGTGCGTTAAGGTCCAAGGCCATTTTTTGTTCTTGAGTTTTCTGATTATTTTCTTATTTAAAAAACAATCGACATCCATTATAATAACCATTCTAATACTGCAGGCTACTCTAGAACAACAATAAAAAAAAATGTTTAATAAAGTATTAGAAGTTCCTAATGACTCTTCCATTTTCAGTGTTCAGGAATGCTGTTTCGGCCACCGTGGCATACAGCATTTCACGCGATTCAAAAAAGGATCCTTCTATCTGGCCCAAGGAACCCTAAATATTACATACCAACAATGGCGGTCGAACATTCCTTATGCAAGTGTGTATAAAGAACATTGAACTTACAACGTATTTAACAAGAGCCATATAAGATACATCGAGCTTTATTCGCGCTAAACCAAGAGCACACTATTGCGATATCGGCCATTATAGAAAAGTTGAGAGATTTTGTAATATTTCGACTAAAAAACAATAATGAAATTATTATTTAAAACTCACATGAGAAATGGCCCGAGTATGCAAAGTTATTTATTTTACAATTCCTTCGAATAAATGTACTTCGCAAGTAGTTCAACTTATAGTCTTATAGTAACACGAAAGCACAAATATAATTGTCAGCAACAAGTCAAAATTAAATTAAACTTAAATACTTACTTTAATTCACATTTGAAGATTAGAATAAATGTTGCGCACAGTCGCGATACAAACAATATTCGGTAGTGGTCAAAAATACTCTTAAAGGAGCGTCACGAAGAGACAAATCAGGGTAATCACTCTTAGAACGGCATTAGTAAGACTTAAATCAGGGAAATCACTCTTAGAACGGCATTAGTAAGACTTCACTAGGACTTTTTGCCCTTTAACATTGCCAGTGTAAGGTATTTGTAAGAGTATAAAGCACTAAATAAGCAATATGCAGATCATTGTAAGATTAAAAATACTCTCCTCAAGACCTTAATGCAATAACAGTAAGGGCAAACACACTTACAAAGTGCGCCCAAATCGACACTTACAGATCTTTGAAAGTGTAAATCAAGAGTAAAATAAAAGTGGTCTTAGGATATCTGTAAGACCAAATTTTGCTAGCTGGGTAAACATATACCTACCCCCTCATTAATAAATAAGCTTAGACTAGTTACTCGTGTTTTGTTCCTCTCACTAAACATACATTAACTAATCCAAACTTATTCTTCGTTTATTAATAAGGGAAATAAAGTGATTCTGCGCACCCGCCAGTCAAAATATTGGCAATTCCTTTGACGAAAACTCTAATATTTTGAGGAGCTCGATGGCGCGGGTAGTTAGCGCGTTCTGCTTGCGAGCGTGGAAGATAAGCACCTTACGCAATGGTCGGTTATAGGATGGGTGAACTTCATAACCTCGAGCAGGAGCACGGAGGACCGTGCTTCGGAAGGCACGTTAAGCCGTTGGTCCCGGCTGTATCTGCAGTCATGTAGCACCCACCAATCCGCACTGGGCCCACGTAGTGGATCATGGCCCAATCTCCCTATTCCATCCCAAGGAAAGGCCTGTGACCAGCAGTAGGGTCACAACTTTCGCAATGGTCGGTTATTGGATGGGTGAATTTCATTACCTCGAGGTCTTCCGTGCTTCGGATGGCACGTTAAGCCGTTGGTCCCGGCTGCATCTGCAGTCGTAATCACCTGTAATCCGTACTAGGTCCACGTGGTGAATCATGGTCCAATCTCCCTATTCCATCCATAGGTAAGGCCTGTGCCCCAGCAGTAGGGTCATTAATAGGCTGATGATTATGAATGTCTAACAACGATATTTTCAAAATTGTCTTTTTATCAGTGCAGCATATACTATCATTATTGCCATGATTTTTTCAGAGGTTATACAACTTAGTATAAAATGATATTAACGACAATTATACAACTGTACAAGTACGGAGATAACAATTAAAAAGCTTGTGACGTTGTTGTTTTATTAATTTCAATAATTGCCATGATTTCCAAAGCTATTAGTGCTTTGTATTGTTTCGTTTTCAATCTACTTATGCCCTATCCCACTCCTCATTTCATATTGATGAGAAATTGGTATCATCATTATCAAACTCGTTAATTGCAAATATTATAGGCAAAAACTTCTCCCGCTTTGGATATAGCTTGTATAAAAATACATCAATGGATGTCCATAATATGTCATTAAGAATACAGTTCCAATAATTGTGTGTGAGGAATGTTAGTAGTGGCTTTGCCACAGCGAAGTAAAACAGTTCTATTCCCAAAAAGGAACGATTATTTTAAATTTCAAATTGGAAAAATTACAATTTGCGTAACTGACACTTAAAACTGACCTCGAACCAATGGTACTGGTAATAGGGAGACGACTTCAGCTACATACTGGTCGGTGCCACGCAGTCTACATTGAGTGCCTAACAATTAGCTGATAATTGCTCCTTGAGACAAAAAAATACAACACATGACATCACTTCAAAAAAATATAAGTTTTTCAAGGAAATGAAAGGTCATAACGATAGTGATATGAACTTTTTAGGGTAACGTACCGAAAGGGTAACAGTGACCGAGGAACTTCAGTAGTTCGTATATCCGTCATAGTGAAAACACTAAAATTTCAATTAAATAATAGGATCTTCATTTTATCGTCGTGTTTTGTTCGATCTATTTAATCTTGAAGAATAGTAATATGGAACCCTACTTCACTTCGCCAGTTTTTTTTATTTATTTGTACAATTAGCTCAATCAATTTGGCTAGGGTAAACTACCACTAAAATTTCCTATATAAGTTTTTTACTAGACCACTGGCGTGATACAACATTGTTCTCTTAACAATGAATTACTAGTCTGATAACTTACTTTACTAAGTTTATAACCATGAACACACCTAAATATACAAAGTTGTTGAGGTGATTCGTATAATTGTGATTATTAAGTTTTCTTGGCCTGCGCTTTGTTTAAATAGTACCAATAGCTTTGAGATTTCCCATCCCTATAGCACTGACAATGTTACTCGTCTACTCGTCCGTCACTAGAGGTCGACGGGTCAGCTGAAAGCAAGAGGGGGTGTAGAAGGCGTTTCCATAGCAACCGGGCCCCACAACACGCCGCGGCGGCGCCGACCACCATATACTCCTAATATTACGTACGTTTTGTATATTTGTTAGTCGCTGCAGCGGCACGCGGCTAAATAAACACGCGCGAGGGAAATACACAAGCTTAATATTTAAAAAGCACAGCGGCCATTGGAAATGCGTAATTCGTACTTTTCGGCTGCCGTTGCCGTAGGCACTTTAATAAAACACGAGTCAAGCGTTGTTACTGGACTTGTTTCGCGGTGAATAAAATGAAGTAAGCCTGAAGCGTAACGCTGTTTAGATGAAAAATTGCATTTCTAGACATTAGATGCTGTGCCATTACAGTAGCACCTTGATTCTCAAGTTCGATCATTTGTAAAATTGTACGTCAAAAATAAAATATTACATACTATTAGCCTTATAATAAATTACAACTCTGCAGAGGTTTCACTATTTTATTGAATCACCAACTAGGACGACGGTCGCAGCAAAAGTCACTCAATCTAAGGTGGAGCGCTCTTTTATAACTCTCCACCGCCACACATTTGTCACTTTTCATAGATTAACGTCTTTATGCAGCTTGTCTATGAACGGTATCATAGCCAATACTTCATAAAGACGGGCACACACCATCCCATAAGATTCGCAAAGCCAATGTCACCATACAGCCAAAACGGCATAGACCCTACGTTTATGCAACCACCTTGAATATGAATGATCAATCGACATTACATCGATTAATCATTCAGATATCAAACTCCGCTACACCGGAAGTGTTTCAGCGTACTAACAAGTCATATTTAAATTATAGAAAATGGCAACATTGTCATAACGTCACATACGGAATGTCATGTCATCAAAACATACTAGCGTTAGAAAAATAACATGTTTTGCTTAACTAAAGTAGAGTTTAATAATTATAACTAACACTCGGCCTTTCCTGACAAAAGCGTATTACGGCCTCGTAATAAAATTACTTTGCAGATAATACTAAAACAGTAAGTTACATCACAATCTCAATTAATTTTTCAAATACAATTTTCAGCACCGTGATTACATAACTCAACAAAACAAAATCATTTGAACTTAAATACGACTCAAACTCGGCCTTCCTGATATGTAATTACGACCTCGTAATTTTATCAAGTAACTCTTTTTTCATATACATATATTTTACACTTGTGATAATGCAAGGTAATAAAGAATATGCCAAATAGTTCATTTGCAAACGATAATTAATGCAACTGAGGTAAGTATGGAATTTACCTTTACTCTTTTTTTTTAATAAAGCTTTACAATCAATTGTTTACATATATACGTATTTTATTTACAGAATTCCTGAACCACCGGACAAACTAAGTCGGTTTTTATGAATAGCCAACTCTAGAAGCTGCCGGACACACCAAGCAGCTTGTCGATTCTATGATTGACTATCTTAAGAAGCTGCCGGACACACCAAGGCGCTTATTGGTTTTTATGATTATCTATCTTAATAAGCTGCCGGACACACCAAGGCGCTTGTTGGTTTTTATGATTATCTATCTTAATAAGCTGCCGGACACACCAAGGCGCTTGTTGGCTTATGATTAGCCATATTAGGAAGCTGCCGGACACACCAAGGCGCTTGATTACCTGAGATTCTCGCTCAGACACTTTTAAACTCAGAGCTGCTTGCCACTACCGGACACACCAGGTAGCAGTAGAACCAGTTTTTATTTGATTTCTTGTTATAGAAGTTAAATTTGCTATAATTTTATACATTTTGTTAAATTAACTATTTTTATGTTACAATAAATATACTTATTGTGTAACAGATTCAATTAATTTATTACAAATAAAATAAAATTATGATATTACATTTATTGACATACATTTATTTCGAATCAAAAATAATAACAATAATATACTATTCCTTCTATAATCAGTATTAGACAAAATCGTATTATACAAAATGTAAAACAATCAATAAATCATTGTACAGTAATATTAGTAGGAATAAATAATATTGTTGACAAGCCTTTCATTTATATGTTTAGCTACCTTAAATTTAGTATCTATTCACAACTATCATAATCATTATCATCATCTGAAATTGATTGAACTACAAACCTTTTCATTCTATCTGCTGCTATTACATTATTATATTTTCTTCCACGTTTGTTTAAGGACGTCACTCTATAACGGTCATTATTGTAAATATTTATAATTTTATATGGACCTGCATACTTATCTACAAGCTTTCCACTAGTTAAGCCTTTTTTTAATACTTTTCTTTGAACTTGAACTAAATCTCCTACTTTATAATTAATATGGGGCAATCTATTTTTATCATATCTTTGTTTAACCTTTGTAGTTGTTGCAATAGTATTGCTTTGGGCTTGGGCTCGTAGTTCAGATATAACAGGAATATTTTGATAATCAGTTGGTAAATCAATATCAAACCTAGGCTTGAAACCATAAATTAATTCATAAGGACATTTCTTTGTAGTGCTATTTATTGTAGTGTTAATACCTCTTTCTACCTGTGGTATCATTTGCTCCCAGTCATCATCATTTTCCCCTGTATATGCGATGAGCGATTGTAGAATCGTCCGGTTACACCTTTCTACTTGACCATTTGCTCGCGGACAGGCCACTGCATTAAGTACATGTTTAATTTGTTTGGAGTTACAATATTTCGCAAATGCCTGGCTTGTGAATGCTTTACCACGGTCGGTTATGATGCGCGTTGGTA